ACTATACTGTGACTCTGACTTCCCCTGTGGGACAAACAGGACTGTGTTATCCCTCTGACAGCCTCCTGTGTTAGGGTTGGGGAGGGTGTGTGAGCTAGAGTGTGTAAAGGGGAGCAGGCGTTGCATCATTTATGTTTTTAATGCATGTGTGCACAAAGTGTGTGGGCCCCGGGTAAGTGACCATTAGACTGCAGAGGTCATAAACCTGTGGAGGAGTTTGGACTCACATGTGGGCCTCCTCTGGACCAGAACAGCCACTATCTGGACCAGCTTTGATACAGTCCTACTCTTATCAGATGCTCTTTATTCCACTCTTATCTGGACCTTAGCACGGGCTGAGCCTGTATTAGAACAAATGTGCTACAGGTCTAGTGCTGGAGCAGAGGGCTGGGGCTTATCGCTGTGCTGATACTGTGTTGCTTTGTGAGGTTTGTGAGCTAAAGTTGTTGTTGTAAAATGTCCTTTGACAGAGTTCTGCTTTAACTGAACACACAGTTCACACACCATAGGGAACTGTGTCTGACTTCAGTCATAACAACACTCATGCGGGTTAGGGTTAGGGCTCAGGCTGCCTCCCTCTGAGCCTGCGCACTCAAAGTCCCACAATGCACCGCGGGGGCAGTCAGCTGACTGCTGACGTCATCCCCTGCCCCAGATGCTTTCAGACATCCTGCTTTTCACGCCCTGAGGCTGCACAAACCGGAGCCCCACGCAGCCCTCAGCACGGTACGTCCGGGTCTGGGGGGGGGAGAGGGGGGGTTAGGGGGGGGGTTTGGGGGGGGGGTCTGGGTGGGAGGGAGCGCGTGACATAACTTTCCCCTGTTCGTAGAGCAAAGGTTACTTCTGTAACACAGGAGTCGCGCGAGGAGGAACAACAGGATCCCGCACAGTCCCGCAGAACCCCACAGAACCCCACAGAACCCGGCAGAACCCCGCAGAACCCCACAGAACCCCACAGAACCCCGCAGAACCCCACAGAACCCCGAAGAAACCCGCATCGGTGAGTCCTCAGAGTCAGAGTCATGATGCTGACACTAACTTTGTGTAGACGCGCGTTACTCGGCTGTACAGACTATGGAAAGCGTGCAAGACTAGCTTTAACTCTTTATCAGTTTACACACACACACACACACACAAACACACATATGCACACACACACATGTGTGTGTGGTCCGGGCTGCTTCCTGCCTCTGGCCCATTGGCTGAGATGGGCTCTAGGGAATAAGCTGCCCCTGTGTGTGTGTGTGTGTGTATATATATATATATATATATTTGTGTGTGTTTATGGATATTCAGAGGGAGCTGGCTATCTCAGAGCTGGGTGACCGCACACACACTCAGTTAGCGGCTGATAGGAGGAGAATAGGCCAATCCAGAGCTGAGATGAGCTGGAATATACCAGGGTTAGGGTTAGTGGGGTAAGGGTTAGGTTTAGTGGGTTAGGGCTAGGGTTAGTGGGGTTAGGGTTAGTGGGTCTTTAGGGTCAGGGGGTGTGTGGGTCTTTAGGGTTAGGGGGTGTGTGGGTCTTTAGGGATAGGGTTAGTGGGTCTGTACATCCCACACCTTCTAGTTAGAGCTGTGACCCCACTCCCGGCCGATGGTCTGAATTCCTGCATTTGACAAAGAAAACACAAAAGCCGGAAGGTCTCAGAAGCTGTCCACATTCCCAGATATCTGATTACAGTCCTGTGATGATGTTTGGTCTGATAAGAACTCCAACGTTAAACGGATGCAGAAATGTTCAGATTAAAATCTTTCCTAGTGTTTCCAGTCTGGATTAAACCCGTTTTTCTTTCCTTTTCTCAGGCTAACCATGAACTTCTTCCTGGAGACGGTGCGCGCCATGCTGCTGTCCCTCTGGTTCAACCTGGAGTCGCTGGTGTTCCTGGTGGTTCCCCGGAAGAGGAAGAACATCTCTGGGGAGGTGGTTCTGATCACGGGGGCGGGCAGCGGCATCGGCCGGCTCATGGCGCAGCAGTTCGCCGCCCTGGACACGGTGCTGGTGCTGTGGGACATTAACCAGGAGGGCCTGAAGGAGAGCGCCCGATTGGCCGGGGCCGCCGGGGCCAAACGGGTGCACCACTTCCTGTGTGACTGCAGCGATAGGAACGAGGTCTACCGGGTGGCCGACCAGGTGAGGAGAGACTAAATTCCTTTGTTTTTTCTCCTTAC